AAAAAAATATTTTGACACACAATTAATTTTTAAGAGAGAGAGAGAGAGAGAGAGAGAGAGAGAGAGAGTTATGTTAAAATGTTGTACGAAATAGTAAGACATTTATAAAACATAATCCTTTCATCCAAACCCTTTACAAATGTCATTAATTCCGAGACATAGCACCCGGTTCTGTAGTGTCACGACTTGATCCCAGTGCTCATGTTTGACAGCCTCATTGTATTTAATGTTAAGCCATTGAGTTTAATATTGTTTTCCATAGCATTTGGTTCGTAGATAACTGTTACCGTCCTTTTAACTGAAATATTTGTGTGAAAAATATTAGCCCTCATTCATTGTGTCATTAGTTGTAATAACACTTTAGTTATAAAACTTCACGTTTATTACGGGATTTAGATTACATGCACTTCAATTGTATGTCTATATCAAGTGGTTGTATTTGTAATTTGATTTTATTAGATGATAATAAATTAGTTGTAATTTATTTTCTATAAAATTGTATCATTGTAATACATTGTAATAACATGTAATACAAATAAATATTTATATAAAATTTGGAGGTAAGTAGTATTTTGGACATTTTATCCGATAAAGACTATTCTGATACATTGTATGTTAGTTTAATAAAAGATTTTATACCGTAATAATAATGAAATTCTTTTCAGTAAATTTCATCTATTTTATTTTAGAGAATATTCATTTAACACTACGCGTGGTTTCAATTTAAATAATAAAATGAATTTAGCTTTAGGGTGTCAATCTTTATTCATCTATTATTAACATAAAAATAAATGCAAAGCACATGAATTGGACAAAATAATCAATTACATTATTCATTTTAATTGGTTTCTAGTTTCATACAAAAAATTTAATATAAAATAAAATAAATGTCAAATTCAACATTTCATTAAATAAGTTAAAGATAACAATGTGTAATTCAATACAGAATAATATTCTAGTTTATTTTAATACTACAGAGTACTTTAATACAGCAGTACATTATATGAGAAAACTATAAAAAAATTATCAACAATATTATACAGTATTATATAAGGTATGAGATATAAATGTATTAAATATTATGATAACATTAATGATTTTATATAAATTATACACAATTTATTAGTAATAAAGAGATTACTATACTGTAGATACAGTATAACAATCAAATAGTTAGGTTGCATTTATATGAATGACCACATACCGTACTAGTGAATGATATTAATTATAGTATTTATTAAACATTTGATCAAATTATACAAAATAAATCTATTAATATAGACATTTAAGTATAGAATAATTCTGCTTACAAAATGTATTTATTTATTATTGATCAATTAAAATAGTTTTTGTTATCTAACTTTATGTGAATTTGGACACAAGTATAACTTGACAATTTATACATTAAATTGCAAGATTGTATCTAACTTTCTTGTTAATCTATAATAAACTTACCATAAAACGAATTTATTTCCTTGATACTTTAACCGTTTTTAATTTTAATATTTATTTATTTATTCAAAAGGTACTAGGATATTTTTGCTCAAAAGTTTAGCGCTAAAAGTATCCAAAAATTATGAACATTAACATAACAAAGGTTTATTTACGATTGAAAATTTATTTAAAAATAATTTTTATATTAAATAAAAAACTTAATGAATATACAGTAATGTTATATAAGGGGTGAAAATTATATAAAAGTTGTTGCAATGATTGTTGAAATAAATTACAAAATAAAATACACCAAAGAAATAGCGATTACGACTAAACCGTTGACTCTATTCATCGACGACCCGTCCCTCTCAACACAATCCGGAGTTTTACGACAATCGCATGAATGGTATACATATTGACTGCACTGGTGGTTAGACCGCAGTCTATTGCCGACTTGTAATTCAATTAGAACTGCTGTATAATCTTGCTTGCTACATTCTTTTGCTTGCTATTATTTACAAAAAAAATAATAATTAGAAACACTTATTAAAATATAAATTGATACAAGTATAAAATTAATTTAAAAATTTGCCAAAAAGACTTATATTAAATAAACTTATTTAAAATGAGTTTGAACAGATACCGTACCTTAACCTGTTCACCAGTGCAATCGGAGGCGTCCCAATAGAAGCAACATATTTGTTTGGCTAACTGTCCCTTTGGGTCGGGATTGTCCTGGATGTCCTTAGCGGTGATACCCCACTGATTATAGTATGTATTATTGCATTCATTTTCTGCCGAATGATATTTGGGCGCACATTCTGCCGATGGAAATGGTGAGGCCGTGCTGGTAGGTTGTGGGGCACCCAGACATGCCCTGCTCATTACAGTTGTTAAGACAATTATTAAAAACATATTAAATGTGTTTATTTTGTTCATCGTTAATGACATTAATGTTTTTCACAAAACAATATTTTTTATTTTGAGAATTAATTATAAAAATCATTTGTATTTGTTATGTATTTATATAATAATTTTATCAACATTGGTGAATCATCATGAATAACTTTGCAATTAATAACTAGATTACATAACATTTTGCAATACGTTTAATACATTCTTTTGTCGATAATTGGGGAATGTATCAATTAATTGATAAGTTTATGACTCAAATTATGTTATGTATTGAGCTATATTTAGCCATTAATTTATTATATGTGTAATAAATTGTAACATTGTAATTTATGTTATTATAATATTGCAATTGGTTAATAACATTAGAAAATTGGATTAATTAGAGTGAAATAATACTAATTAATTTCTATAACAAAATTAATATTTTTTAAAATAATAAATTATAAAAAATACTTACAATTAAGTGCCTGGAAGAATCAAAATAACTTTTATACATTTAGTATAATACAATACAATATTTGTCTAACATTTAATTGAGCAAGTTCAAGAACAATAGATAAAAGTAAACCATATTAATAAAAGATATGGTTCAATATTATTGTAAAATGTTTTATCGCAATTTGATTGATTAGACAATACAATATTGCAAACTATAATTGAAATTTGGTGTTCATGTGATACTGTCATTACTCACTAAACATGATTAATGCAAGTATTGTATCACAAAAAAATTGAAAATTAAACAAACATTTTAATTAAAACATTTGTAATTGTAAACAATGGTAAACACAACACTATTTTTTGTAAATTAAAAATTAAAAATAAATGAATAACTTATTCAGTATATTTTAAATTAGAAAATTTTATTCCCAATTGTATTCAGTCTATGTTTATAATAAAATAGCAAATCATAATTGCAATGAGAATCCAATTGTTGGCTAAATTGAATGCATTATCTGATGGGGACTGTTGACAGGCACCGGGAGCATACTTATATTCCGGACAAATTGACTGCGAATTGTTTTGCAGACACGTGTGCATCGACTTGTAATCCTTTTCCTCACATCTCTCCTATTAATACAACCAATTAATTGGAAATTTAAATATAAAATAAAAAATATTAAAAGCAATGTATAGCTGACCAGGGCTACTTCATCCATGCATTGGACCAAATCCCATATGAGACAACACCGGATGACCACAAGCGTGTCATTGCTTTTATCCTCGACTGAAATCAAGTAATTATAGTAAAGGCGCATCTGATCGACACAAACGGCGTTTTGGGTTTGCATTGCTTTGGAGCACTCGGTCGACACGACTGCCGACACTGCCGTCATATTGAGTTTAATAGTGTCGGCGATATCGGTGCCCGACGTCGGGTCTATGACGGGAATGGGGCCCAGAGTCGAGACTTTCTTGAAATCCGCACATTCCTTGCATTTGTACGGAAAGTCATCACAACTCGGATTAGATTTAATAAATTGGTTGAAACTATCTGTCATTTTGTCCGCGTCTTTGTGATCGCATTTCGCCTTTTAATGCAATTATTATTATTATTCATATCACAAAATAGTTAGTTTACTCATATATTTGTTAATTAAATACAACATAAGCTTATTTAGTATTTATATAATTAACATGCTACTATAACTGACCTGGACTATAGTTACGATGCCATCAAACCAGTCGTATGGGTAGCAACAGGTAAACAAGTGGTCATCTCTTGTCTTATTTTTGGTCACTTTGTCATTGTTTTTCATGAGTGTATCCCATTCACTGGTTATCCGATTAGAGCACCGGTCGATCTCCAATTTGGTTTTAGCCCAACATTCCTTAGACATACCAAGAATACCTGGATCTAAAGGTCCGATATCACCATACACGAGTTGCACAATTGCAATTATATAACAAGCAACTTTTAGCATTTTAGGAATACAACTCCCGATAGTAAGTAAATTACAATTAAAAAATAAATTACTTATTATCTGCTTTAAGTTAACATTTTATAATTAATCAGAATTTTGTGGACAATCTGTTGTTTTCCCAAACATTTTAGAGTTAATATATAATACCTTTTCAATTGAATCGACTATACTTTGATTCACTTAAGGTTATTAAAAATCATTTCATTTTAAATTAGTGATAAAATGTGGAAAATTTTATTTTAAAAATAGGTCTTATTTAGTATTGTGTTATTGAGATAGATAACATTGTCCTAGTAGAATCTAGCTATACAAAATATTTTTCAATGAGATTGTTTAATAGCAGTTAAATACCGGTAATATTTCTGTACTAAAAATGTAACTATTTTTAAAAATGATAGTACTGTTGAGTAAATTAAATTAAATTGTTTATTTAGAAATTATTTATTAAATAAGTACAGTATTGAATACAGTATTTTAATAACATTAACATTATTGAATAGATAGTTTTATAAAAGATTATTTAAATTACTAGCTCATAAGTACTACAAATTAATGATAGGATTTTAAATTATTATCACAAAAAATAAATGATAAAATTAATAATTACAGCATTTCATTTTTATTTTCATAAATATAAACCAATTATTTTTGGAAAATAATCAGAAACATAATTAATTTTATGGGTAAATAAGACTACAATTATAGCTTCAAACATGATTCGCATCATTAATATTCAGATTATTTGTTAATTTACGAGATTTATTGGCAAAACATAGACTAGAATTAAAAATGTCATCAGTATTGGGGGTAAAACTTATATAATTATGTCATTATTTATATAGCGT